TATCTCTGAAGTTGGTATGGACTTACAAGATGTGAGGTCTTGGAGTAGATCTGTGGTTTTCAAACCCACCTACATACTCAGATCACCTAGGGAGAGTTCACACAAAGGTGTTGTGTGGTCTCCACCCTCTGAGGTTGCTTAATTGGCCTAGGATGGACACAGCCATGGTCATTTTAAAAGAAACGAAAGCCTCTTCAGATGAAGGTAATATGCAGCCAGGGCCAAGAATCACAGTGGGAGATACAGTACTTTGTGTTCGGGTTTACTCTGCAGTGAGGCTTCTTGCGATATTTACTGAAAGGTAGAACAAAGGGAGGAAATACTTCATCTGTGCTTGATGATTAACAGCGTCTCATCATGCAACCATCCCAGGCTAAGGAGTATAGCTCAGTGGTAAAGCACTGGCTGAATTTGGGTTCAACCTCTAGCATCACAAAAACAAAAATTTCTCCACAGGCTACCTGTGCTAACATCATCCTGTGCTTTAGCCTGCATGTCTGCCATCTCACAGGTGGACAACAGTTAAAAGCAATGCGGCGGCCGCTGGGGTAGCTATGGTATCAGAGAGAGCAGAGGAAATGCATTGCTTGGCTACCAGATGCTGCAAACCAGGTTGGGAGCTTGCAGCTTAGCCTCACTTGATTTTAGCAGAACCAGGTCTCTGGAGGAAAACTGTTAGGGTGCTGAGGCTGTCCAACATGCAGAAAGCCAGGACACCTTAGGAAAAGACGAGAAGGTCAAATATTTATAAAAAAAATATTTGTCATTTTATGTAGTCTGCTATTTGATTGATGAAAAATTTTTATTTTATTTTATTTTAGGGAAAGGTCTACAGGGTGTTCAGGGTCTCACTACTAGATCAGATTTATAGTGATTCACCTGTTTACAGCCTCCCAAGAGCTGGGATTACAGGCACATGCCACCATGCCGTCTCAATTGCTATCTCAGCGCGCCCCGGGGGTGGGGCTGGAATGGCAGGCCTGGGGATCGAACCCCTGGTCCCTGCACCTGCTAGCAGGCACTTTAATCTGCTGAGCTATTTGGGAAGCCCTGATTGATGAAATTATGAGTTTATTTTGGATGGCTGTCAGCCTTGTTTTGGTGTTTGCTTAGTAATAAAATTGTATTTATGTCTGCTTAGCTACATATTGTAGCTCATTCTGTTCTCTGATTGTTAATCATCCCCTTTCAGAATCACTAGTGGCTGAGCTATTTGCCTGTCCATTGCTCAGATACTGTAGAAGCAGAGTGTGTTCATTTGTGGATACCTACTCCCTCCACTCCAGCTACTCCCATTCAGCAAAATAGTAATATAGTGCTTGATCTTGTTTGACCAGTTCCTCCACCCTTTTCATTTTCCCTTTGCTTCAGGCTAATCTTCAATCAGTAGGTGTTTTCCCATGAGTGGAACTCTTGAGTATAACCTGAATTGCATCAAATTCCTTAAGTCTGTCTGCTTCTAAACCAGTTTGGTTCTCACAGTGAGAGGCCACCGTCGCGCTGTTCGTGCTCGTGCTCTCTGGCCCAGTAAACTCAGTCCAGGGACTTCTCTTTGCTGAGTGTTGAACCAAGAATCACTGCATCATTTACTGCACAGCATTACTCGGTAGTTCTAAAAATTAAAACCGGCAGAAAATTTTGCTTTTTTATTTTTCTGTGCATGGAAAATTACTTTGAAGGAATTAAACTCAACCAAGGTAATCATGGTAAATAAAACCTTATTGCATTCTGTCCATAGGAATTTTCTATTTCCTCCAAGGTGTGTTCACTGTAACCTAGCTTTACAACTACATAGAAAGAGAGAGCTCTTTCATTAAGATACAATTTAATTTAAAACTTTTGGCAATATGATGAAATATTAACAGTGAAAACAAAGGAAAAACTAAATGAGCGACAGCCATGCTGAGCTGGATGACTATTTTGCCCATTGCTGTTCCATGGAAAGTTTGTTTTATTGGGTGTAACTTATGGATTGTTCTGAAATTTACTTTCTGAATGTCTGCTAGGCACAGTGCAGGAAGGAACCACTACCTCAGAGCCGCTAATGGTAGTGCAGGGGCCTTCTCCATAGAGAGAACCTGTACTGGTTTCTATGGTTGTTGAGTCACATATAAAAGACATTTTTAAAGCAGTGGCCAGACTTAGACTCACTTTTAAAGCAGCTGGCCTAGGCTGAGGTATGTTTTTTATTGGCAGTCAGGAGCTCCTGGGTACCATGGAGAACATAATCTGGCAAGGAAATGTGGGAACAGGAATGGGAGGAATTCTGGGGACATGACATCAGAGCATGGCTCCCTGGACTCGACTACTAACCTAGCCTGTTTTGCTAGTCAGGAGTTTGCTAGGGTCTGTACCATATGTGGGTGGGTATGAAGGAGATATTATTTATGTTCTTACAGGTGTTCTTGTGAAGAAAGCTGGTGTCAGGCCTTGTGGCCTGAAGGCTGGACCAGCGCCTGCAGCTGTGAGAAGTGACTCCGGGAGATGATGACCTGACAGCTCCCAGGGCAGGTCGTCTGCAGAGACCCTGGCTCTCCACTGCCAAAGGACTACACATAAAACCTAAAATGCTGCCAAGGACAAGGTTTTCTTGTACACTGATAGTATTGATATTTAATTTTTGCCAAAGAAAAAAGGTCTTTTATGAGTTATAACTGAGCAGGGAGGTGGGGCAAAGGTGGCTCAGGCAGTCAGCTCTTTTAGAAAGTATTTTTGTTTTAGCAGAACCAGGAATTGAACGCTGGCCCTTATGCTTGCCAGAGAAGTGCTTATTCTACTGAGCCATCTCCTGGCCCCTAGAAAGTGTTTTTTAAAACAGGTTTTTAACTAGAAAAAATATGATGCTCCTCTATAAAACTACAATTTAAGAGTCTCTGTAACCAAAGAATACCTCCTAGTGGCTTCCTGTGCGCTCCAGCCAGGTTGCTGGCCTGGTGGTTTGCTGTCCAAGTGCACAGTAGACCCCACCTGACTTCTCCACTTTTGTGGGGCTAAGCAGCGGCAAGGCTGGGCTGCTGAGCCTCATTCGGGAGCTAAATCGCTGTGGTTCTTTATGTTTTGCATATTTACAGAACGTAGGAAAAGAAGGGCTATAGGATATGCATAAAAGGCTTTTTTGTAGCTGGACAATTCATCGCTATGAATTGGAAACAAGGGAGTTGTTCTCAAGAACAAGCAGGAGTTCAGGCCAAACCAGGGAAAACAGCTATTTACAAGGCATTCACATTGCATCAGGTATTCTAGGTAATTTAGAGATGATTTAAAATTGGAAGATGGGGCTGGGGAGATGGCTCAGTGGAATAAGCGCTTCCCTGGCAAGTGCAAGGCCTGAGTTCAATCCCTGGTTCCGCCAAAAAAAATAAAATAAAATAAAATAAAATTGGAAGGTACATATAGCTTCTACCCAAATCCTATGCTATTTTACATAGAGGACTCGAGTACCTGCAGGTTCTGGTATCTATAAGGTGGTCCTGGAATGAATCCCCCATTGATATCAATAGATTACTACACTTTCTTCTTTACTAAGTCATGGGGAGGTTTCATTCTACTGACTGCTTTTACCTTCCATCTTGCACAACACACTTACCACAGGCTGAAACAGTTTCTTTTATTCAGATGCCAAATCCACTCTTATATAAGAGATGGTTTGGAGGATAGCTTTCTAAAAACAAATTTCAATTTTAAGGAAAATGAAAAAGCAAAATTAACTTCAGTATAGTTTTTTTTTTTTTTTTTTAACTCTGAGGCTTTCTTAATCCCAAAATAAGGATATTTTTGCCACTACATATACTGAAATGTCCATAAATTTCCCAAAGCACAATTAAACCACACTATTTTATTGCAAATGCAAAATACACAAAACATGTAAAATCTGTACTCTTAAAATGAATATAAACATTTGAAAAATATAAAATTTCCTAAATATAATTTAACAGAAATGAGAACATGTCACATGTATTAACATAAATTACTTTTAAACATAGTTTGTTGAAAGGTAAAATTAGCATTTAGTTCAGTTTTACTGGATTTAAGAAAAAATATTTTTGTTGGACTATCCTATCAGTACTGGTAGTACCAGGACGGAATTCACTTTCACTTCCATGATATAACAAATTGAGAAAAGACTGGGGACTTATGAAACCTGGCATTGTGCAGTCCTCACATCTCTAGTAACAAGACTGTAAAAAGTAACATTGATTTAAGGAGAACTGAGTTGATCAAGTGCCTATGAAATACTGGGAATGATACAAAGTGTTTTCCATGTAATAGTTTTTTAAAAATGGATGTGCAGTTTTCTGCGCAGGCACAATTTTATAACCCTTCAACAGCATGGTTCTATTTGGGAAAATAGATTTACAAACATTTTAAGACTTTTAATGCATATGCCCACTGCTAACTTGTTTTTAATCTTTTATTTATTTGGTTCGGGTCTCACTCCCAGCTCAGAGAGACCTCCCGTCTCAGCCTCCACAGCGCATGCTCCACCATGCCCAGTTTCTGGGGCCAGCACGGCATGTGGTACTGGGGATGGAATCTGGGTACTTGTGTTTGAAAGGCATTTTCAAGTATTTCATTGTTTTCCCACATACTACAGCTCAAATTTGTTTCAGTCCTTCTCCTGTGCAAGTGTGTCAGCACCAGTTCACTTCCTAATCTAAGGTATACACTGATCTTTGTGTTCCAAGTAACCTTGATCTGGGCACAACGTGCCAAGGGCAAAACTTGACATCTAAATTATCAAGTAATGAATGATATTTACTAAACATGTAAAAGTTGAATTTCTCGGAGTGGAATACTACCACCACACTCTTAGGTTAAATGTCAAACATGTCAGGAAATTCCTTGCCAACTTGTCCTGGGGAAACAAATAAAGTTCTCAATACTCAGAAAAACATTTTAAAAACTCTAGAGTTTGCAAATACTTCTTTTTAAAGAAGATGCTTCCCCAAATTTGTGTTCATAGCTTATATATCTGATATACAAATGAAAAGAATCACCAGTCAAGAGAGTATACATGTATTTATCCTGCAAGATCAAGCCATTGATCTTCCATGGATAATCAGTTTACAAAATCTTAGAATTCCTTCACTTGTGCTCACCACTGAACTATGCTAAAGACTCCAACAGCAGCTGAAGGCTTCACTGTAGTTTTGGATGGTCACTGTGAACACCACTCATCATTCAGCAGAGTTGTGTAAATACTGAGGTCAGTTTAACAGAATTCTGAATGGCAGACTTTATTATCATTATCCTGGGTAGGCTTGACTTTGCTCAAAAACAAACAAATAAACAAGCAAAACCAAACTAACATTAGAGGTTACAGTAAAATACAATCCAGTCAATTTAAAACTTTCTTTTTGGTAGATTTGTTTTGACACAAATTTAGTCTAGATATATGATAGCAAATTTCCTTCCTATAATACCAATAGGTGACAGGAAATCTGCCTATAAAGTTCACCAAAAATCTTATTCCTGCCATGAATCTGGAATGAAAAAATTTATATGAATATTTTAATGTGAAAAGATACCTCTTGTAGTAGCCTCTGAGTTCTTAACTATTTTGTTTTCCTAGAAGTTCATTCTCCTTCACACTCTCCTTGAACACAGTATCAGTAGTTGTATGGAAAAACGTGGCCAGGATGAATTTAACAGGAAAAGATATCTGCCTACTTATAGTGATGGGAAATGCTTATTTTGAAAAGTCAGTAACCTATTTTAATTTCCTTATTAAGGGTTACAGCACCAAATTTCAAGAAAACCATTAGGATTTCTTAAGTTTGTTCTTTTTTTAAAAAAAAAAAACAAAGATTTTTTCCAGTTGTTTCCAAACCACAATGGGAAATCTATCCCTTTGGGATAAATATTTGAGAAAAATTAAAGTGGACCAAAAGATAGTAATTATTTCACAAGAATATTTGTGAACAAGAAAAGTAACCTATTGGATAATAAAAGAATGAGACAAAAGAAATATAAATAACTTTAAAGTTGAATTCACTTGGACTTTCCCAGAATGTTAATTTTGCCTGATACCATCCAGATTGGTGCTTAAAGAACCTGTTCTTTGTTATGTGTGTTTTTGTGAGAATTTGTTTCCATTATCTGAGGTCTGAAGTACCTTCATCCTTGCTCCATCCTCCCCCTTTAATTGGTAATAAAGTCTTACACTATCTGAATAATCCAGTTTATGTCTTCACTGTTGGGTGTGCTTGTTCATTCTAGCCCACTGAAGTGCAGATTCTGAAAGCAGGTCTTTTTTTTTTTTTTTTTCTTTAATACTCTGCCCTTTAGTTTTCCAGTTTAAAAAGGGGAAAGTTGCCAAAGGGATAATAAATTAACAGTGTTCTCCCTTCTCAGTGGGATCATGATTCACCAGAGCTGGTGAACCTGCTTATCAGAACACAGAAAACTTGGCCTGTAAATTGCTCCAAATCTCAGACTTGCCACGGAGGAAATGGGGCACCACCTGGCTAAGTCAAATCTTCTGTAGTGAGAAGAGATTATGCTCAGACAACTATAACTCCTTGACTTCTTTTATGTTTATGCAATATTTAAAGTTGTGCAGAAATGGAAAGATGCAGGAATCTAGAAGTATATCAGAACTTGATGTTCAGATTTGATGGCCCAAGAAGAACTTTTCTTTATTTGGCTTCACATTTAAAGTGTTATAATTTTAAAAATACCTATTTTCCAAATAGTAATTCTAACAGTTAGTCTTCCTTCTCCTCTCAAAATGTCTTAAGTTGGTGAAAATTTAGGATTTGCAGAGTCTTTGATCATCTGTCCTGCTAAACAAGGTAATGTCATCTTCATATCCGTCTGTTGAAAAGTCTACATTCTCTAATAGCATGTAATTGTTCTCATTGGCATTTGGAGAAAGGACTTTTTCCTTAGCAGTGGACGTCAGGTCACTCCAGGTAATGTCAGTATTTTTAAAAGCATGCAGAAGGAAGATGCCATTGATAATGGTGAAGAACCCACTCAAGGTGCCGATGATATCTCCAGCTTTCATGCCGTACCACTCTTTGAATAAGATGGCTGAGCAAGTCACTACCATGGATGTGAAGAACACATAATAAATAGGAGTCACTAGAGATGTATTAAACATGTCCAGTGCTTTGTTGAGATAGTTAATCTGTGTTGTTACTGAAAGCACAAGGACAGCCAGCAAAATAAAGACCAGGGGATTCTTGTAAATTGGCTTGTGGGCTAGTAGTTCCTTAATGGCAATTCCCAGGCCCTTGACAGAAGAAACTGAAAATGCTCCAATCAAAGAACAGATTGAAATGTAGACCAGTATATTGGTCTGCCCTTTCTTGGGAGCTACAATTAAAATCAGCACCAAGGAGATCACAGTTATGATCACAGCAAAGGAGACAAATCCTGTTAAAGAGAGAAAAGAATTCTACTTAGGAAAATGTTAATTTTCAGAAAACATTGTTCCTTTAAGAGCAAAGGTATTTAGAAATAGAAGATTAAATTAAAAACAGTAATATTCTATTGGATAGTTCTCATTTTATAAAAGGCTTTTACAAACACATCATTTGAATCCTGTCAATACTGTTAGGTCACACAGGTACTGCCATTTACATTTCTATTTAGGTTGTAAGTACCAAAACTTTCACCATAAACCTTACGTCTCTACCCTGCCATCTCTCCCTTTCATTACCTAGAGGGGCAGCATGGGCCCAGAAATAAATTCCTTTACTTTTTTGTAAACTTTGTAGTAAACAAATTTTACTGTGTCTCACAATCTGCAGTCAGACTTGTCCAAGCCCTATTAGTATATTATTACAACTATCACTTGATTAGGAGAGAAAGAGGAGCAGCATTAGAATGTTTAGGTGGACTCGCAGACCTGGGTCTCTCAATTTCATTTCCATGTCGTGCAAAGAAGTGACTTCCTCTTCTTGTGGAGCGTGGATAACCATCACAGTCGACCCCAATATACTTAAAATGCAGCCTATTTTCCCATGAATGTTCAAGTGCTCGTTTAAAAAGTAGGAAGACAATATTGCACTGTGGGGAGAGAAAAAAATTAAAATCATCATGATTCAGTCACCTTTGATTTCACAGCAGCTCAGAAATCATACTGTGGCATCCTCATAAGTTGACCTGAATATGCGACATGACACTGAAAAGGCTGGGTGAGTGACACTCAGAATGAGGGCCAATCACCTCTGCTGCATGGCTTTTACATCTGAAGAGCTATCAGACACTTAACACTCCTGTCATCTTCCCAAGATCTGCTAAGAGGCTCTGCTCATTTGCAACTATCCCATTTCTCCTATAAAGCCATGCAAATAAAAGATTTTTCACATCTTACTGGCATGGTACAGATTAAGTATCCCTTATCTGAAATACTGGGGACCGAAGTATTTCTGATTTTAGATTTTTTTTTTCTGATTTTAGGAATATTTTCAAATACATAATGAGATATGTTGGGGGAAGGAACCTAAATCTAAATATATAATTTTTTATGTTTCTTGTATACCTCATATACATAGCTTGAAGTAGGTTTACACAGTATTTTTGGCATGCCTGTTTTACTGAAATCTGAGATAGATATGGAAGTGTGAAATTTTCCACTTGTGATATTATATCCGTGCTCCAAAATTTGAAAAATTTGGAGCATTCTAGATTTTCAGATTATGGGTGCTCAATCTGTACACTCATAATATATGCCCATAGAAGTTTCATAAAAAACAATATATAAGCTAAAGATTTACTCAGTTCAGGGGTGATACGTAGCTAGTATGTGTAAGCTCTCTCATTCAGATTATCAAAATATTGGAATATTTTCATACCCTGCTAGTGCCTTGGTACTTTCGCATATCCGTGTCCCCAATCCTTTGGTTGTCGTGCGCTGGCCTCAGGAAACTCTGGATTAACCCTCCCAAAGTACATGTTATGGTTTAGATCTGAAATATTCCCCTCAAAATGAGTTGAAGTCTTAGTTCCCGGTGCAACGATGGCCAAGAGGTGGGAACTTGGAGAAGCGAGCTGATTACGGGCTACTACCTCATCAGCAGACTAACGCATTGCTAGGCTCTTGGGTAAAACGAGCTATTGGGAGGTGATGGACACTGAAGGAGAAAGTATATCATTAGGGGCAGGTTGAAAGGTATATTTCATCCCTGGTGCCCTCACCTCTGGCTACTTCCTGGCGGCCATGAAAAGAGCAGCTTTACTCCACCATGTGCTCCTTGCCATGACATTCAGTCCTGTCAGGGTCCTAAAGCAATGAGGCCAGACATGGTGGTACACACTTGTAATCTCAGCATTCAGAGGCTGAGGCAGGAAGATCACTGAGTTTGAGACCACCCTGGTTTACATAGTGAGTTCAAGGCCAACCCGAACTATATAGCAAAAGAACAAAACAAAACGAAAGAGCAATAGGTTCAGTGACCATGGCTGAGGCTTCCAGATGCCAGCCTCCTTCTATGTCTGCTCTGACCTCCCAGGAACACAAACTTGGTGCCTCTTCAGCCTGAGATGGGGAGTAGTCGCCAAGTGCTTTCTTGGAATTGTCCTCATGTGGCTACTTGTGGGATGGTGCCTTCAGTGAATACTAAAACTACTACTATGTTATTTATTCATTTTAAAGACAAGAGTTCTGTATGGTTTAAGTGTATTGCCTTCTTTAATTCTCAGGGACAAAAAAATTTTATAATGAGTATAAATAGAAGTGAGTAGGCTTGGGCCAGCAAGATAGCTCAGTGGACTATGAGCCTGCTTAGGCAAGCACAGGGACCAAGGTTTGATACCTGGCACCACATGCCACATTGGCCCTGCCCGTGCACACTGAGCCAGTCACCGAGATCAGGCATGGTGGTGCATGCATGTAATCCCAGTGCTGGGGAGGCTGAGACTCTACCAAACACATTTTTTAAAAAAGAAGTCAGTAAGTCAGTAGGCTCAATCATGAGTTTTCTGGGAGAGGCTGATGTGAATGGAAATGAGAAAGACAGGAAGGTAGCTTAGCCACACAAGAGTTCATGGCCTCACTGAACACACTCATTTGGGTTCATAACATACATTAACTCAGAAAAATCAACTGCACATACTGCACTAAAAGAAACTACTGGGGATACAAACAAAGGTATCTAGAGGACACTTAAGAATTTTAATGAGAACTGAAATTTAGTCCAAACTGCTTTTTAAAGTTCTCCAATCACTACAGTCATCAATCACTGTGATCATAGAAGAAATTAAAAGGACTCTGGCTATGTATTCTGGTGAGAGATATAAAAAACAAAAATAAAACTCTGCTAGGATTCACTGAGTCACAAATATAATACAATTGCTCTATATGAGCAAGAAACCACATCCACTGTCACAGTGTTAACAAAAATGTTTAGACTTCCCATTTCTACAGCCATTTTTTTATTGTCTAGGCAAGTGTTCTACCATCAAGCCCATGCCTAGTCTAAGAAAAAAAATTCTATCCCCATTTTACAGAGTAAGATTCAGTGACCTGTCCAAAGCTTTTCAGGAGTCTCAGAAAAATTTTAGGTCTTTTGTGGTGCTGTCAGAGGTCAGGTTGGAGTGACCTTTTTGTTTTGAGGAAAATATATATTTTTTCCCTGAAAATAAGACCTAGCTAGAAAATAATCAGCCTTGAAAACCATTAGCCCCAATCACCCTTTCCTTGCCTTATCTGCCATTACAACTCTTTTGCTCAGTGGCTGCTCTGTAAGGCAGGTGAGCCAAGCATAGGCTGCTTGACTTTTGACTTGTGGTTTTCAAGGCCAATGACTTTCCTGCGAGGTCCATTTTTCAGGGAACCACGGCAGCAATATGCTTCTTCTAGCTTAAGTGTCCCATGATATTTTTTTCCATAATTTTATTGAGAAACAAATAGCAATGAGACAGTTTCAAACCAAGTTGGTAGGAGAGTTTCAATAATTAACACATTGCATACATTTTTCCTAGTGGTTAATTACTGTATAAGATGCAGACATGATATCCTATTTACAAACACTATTAGAACAAATCCCCCTATTCACTAAGAGAATGTAACTATGTATCTATCCTAATCATTTTGAATATACAGATACAAAATGGACATTCATCTGTATCCTCTTTTTTTGTTCAGTTCTGTTATTTGAATATTATAGGTGTGTTAACTCAGCAAATATTCTAAAAGAGTCCAGTAGTCCATAATAGTATTGGGTCTTCCGCTTGACTGGCAATGTCAGAAATTGTTGACCTGAGTCCCCGATAGCTCAACATAACAGCATGTCTTTACTTCTTTTACTTTGTTTTCATACTTTTCTGCTGGATGGTTAAGACCAAGGTAAAGCAGGACCTATGCAACAAGAGTTGTAGCTTTTGGGTCTGGGCTGTGACTCATCCACATGGCTGACACTGACAAAGGTTCTACAATCTGAGGTACAGGACCTCAGGATAAATCCTGAGGGGATTTCACTGACCTTTTGTCCCATGATATTAAAATACACAACAGAAGCCACACTCCTTACCACTCACCTACCTTATGAGAACACTCAAGGCACCGAGAGGGGTGACCAAGGTGGCAGGGGCAAATGCATATGCTGCAAAATTTGCAGCCTCTCCTGCTCCCACTGGAAAGCAAGCAGAAGTATTAAGGTACATGATTAATTTACTTACTGGAAGAGAAAACCAAATGACCCTTGCAAAGCCATGGACCTTATCTCAATGACACTGAAAGATCTAGCTAAAAGGGATGATGTGCCAGGTAATCTTTTTATCTATCTATCTATCTATCTATCTATCTATCTATCTATCTGTCTATCTGGAATAGGGTATCGCTACACAGCTTGGACTTGTAGCGATACTCCTGTATCAGCCTCTCCAGCACTGGGACTACAGGTGTGTGCCACCACACCATTTCTGGGCTGGCACAGCATGCCTGGGGTTCCAGGGCTGGCATGGCATGTGGTACCGAGGATTGAACTTGGGACCTTGCCAGGCAGATGCTTAGACTACCAAGCTATCTCCCAAACCCTCATTCCAAATAATCTTAATTGTCAGGTTGGTTGGATTAAGAAGACTCCTATAGAGGTGAGCAGGTCATGAGAGTACTACACTCATCAGTGGATTAATCCATGGATACTCAATAGCTGAGTATGCTGTGGAAGGTGGGGCTCAGTCGGACATTGGTCACTGAGGGTGTGCTTTGGAAGATGTATCTCTCCAAGGAAACACTCTTCTCCTTGGCACTCCTCTGCCAAACCCTTCTACCATGGCGTTTCTGCTTAGGGACCAGCTAATCACAGATTGAACCCTCCAAAACTATAAGCCAAACAAATTTCTCCTCCTTCACTTTATGATGCTAGCTATTATGTACTACTGATGAAAAGTAGACAAATAATTTAACCTTATTTTTTAAATAGAAGGTAGGAGAAGATTGGTATGAAGAGATTCAGATAAGGTATTATTTGCCTGGTGATATAAAAACTACCAAAGACTGATAAATATACATTTGAAATGACTTTCAAGAGACATTTTAATTACTTGAATAATGAAAACATATTTGGTCACTCTGATAGAATTGAGCAGAGGTGGCTTTGGAGGAAGCAAGGAACTAGCCTATTTTTTCAAGAATATCTACTGTCTCACAAATTAACAGCAATAAGGAATTTGTAAAATTAAAACACTTTGTGGATATCTGGTGTCTAGGTGGGAGACAGTGAGGGATCCCAGTAAAGCCAGGCATGTTTGAATTGCAGATGAACTACAACTAAGTAACAGTATCTATGCTACTCAAGAAGATCCAAGCAGCTCTTGTAAAATCATAATCATGTGCTCCTTTTGACTGTAGTCCTGTTTTTTTTCTTTATATTTTTGTATTTTAGAAACTCTAGACTTACTAGAGTGAGGGAAATCCTTCTAACAACTGGGCTGTTGTATGGGAGCCAAACTGTTCCACAGATCACAACTGGACGCTTGCCCAGGGAATGCAGCACTACACGTTGGCAAACTGCACCAAGCAAACACTTACTGAAGAGAGAAAAAAGAACCCTATCTTCCCTTTCTTTGGTCACTCCCCCACCCCCAATTTATACGGGTACTGGCATTAAGAACATACCATAAAACAAATCTAAAACTGACAGAATAATTAGGAAGCTGCACTTGTAACGAGACCTGGAATTTCCTTTAAGTATTAAGCCTTTTTTGAATACTTAATATTATTTATATGTTGATATTAAAGATAGTAGTCTACCAAAACAGTGACCTTGTGATTAAATACCAATGTATTTGTAACTGGATAACTTTATAGTTTTACCTCTTTAATACTGGAACCACATTTTTTAACATGGTAAAAATAAAATTGTAAATGTAGACATAAAATGTTCTTGTAATATTTTCATTCTAAAGGAAATAGTCTATTTTCTCAAGAATACCTGTCTTGCAAATTAATAGCAACAAGGAATTTGTAAAATTGTAGAGGATCAGGAGATGAAAGTAAGAGAGGAAAAAGAGAATCACTCAGTATCTGTCTCAAATCTTCCCAGTATAGTTCTTGCCATTTTATTCAAATAAAATCAAAAAGTAGATGTGAAAATGTCTTTAGAACTAAAATTCCTATATAAATTTAAATTTATTTCCTTCCATGATTCCTTTTCTATTAAGGAAAGGATACCAAAGATCCTTCTTATAGTAAGATCTGACATATACTGAAGTACGTTATTTGTTTCTGGTTTTTTGAGACAGCATATTGTTGTGTATTTTAGATAGGCCTCCACCTCAGCATGCAGCGTAGACTGACCTCAAACTCATGGTGATCCTACTGCCTCAGACTCCCAAGCACTCCCAAGCGCTGGGATCGTAGGGGGCACCACAACATCTGTTATTCGTTTCTGGAAGTTTTATGAATTCTGACTGCAGAGGAAAATTATCTACAAGTGGTGTGAAACTACAATTTATGATGTCTTTTCTTTGGAAGTTTCAGACTTTGGATTTGAGAAAATTCAGAAGAGGACAGCAGGAAAGTAAAATCAGCAGAAATGGCCGAGAGCGCTAACGTGCCAGCTGTGTGGACCTCCACAGGCCTTTACAAAGTGCTTTCTAGCCTGCAAAGTCTGCTGGATCCTGAAAGCAAGTCTGGGAAGAGGGAGCATGCAAATCACCCGCGTCTTCTCCCAGTTTTTTCCAGCGCTACTAGCCAGAGATCCTTGGATTTATTCATGGATTTATTCATTTCCTGACAAGCAAAATGCACCCCTTCCAGAGAAAATCCGTAGTTAGGATAGTCATAGTCTCAGATTAGGAGATTGAGCAGTGTGGGAGGAAAGCACTTCTCTCAGTTCTTGTGGGAATAAAATATGAGGCGCTTGAGAGGAAGTACAGCATATCGGTACTGACTGGTGTTTAGGCAGCGTGGGAAAGAGACAGAAAGATAAAAGCAGTCTTTATTAACTCCGAAGACACGGAGAGGATCGAGGGCAGCTGGGGCAGAGCCTCCGGCCTGAGACAGAGAGTTGAGGAGTCTATGGACTTCTGTTAGGGGTGGAGTTTGAGGAGGAGGCCTAGAAATACCTGAGGAGCTGACCGGGTTCTTCCCTGAGGCAGTGGGAAAGGTGGGAGGAAACCGCACCCTGGGCTGGGCTGAAGAAGCGGGGAGGCTGTCTCTGGGAAGATGAGCTGCTGTTCTAAGGGCTTCAGCCATATTCGATGACCACCCTAATAATTCAGCCATTCATAGTAGGGCCAGAACCTATCAAATATCAACTGTTTTCCTTTATATTCGGTGACAGTATTGATCATACAAGGATTGCCTAAGAATGAAATGTAATATAATGTAATGTGTCATATGATATTCTATCCACATAAAATTTTAGACTTAAATTCCATTCTTATCGCAAAAGAAAAATTATTTAATGTTGAAAAAATTCATGTAGGGGTTCAATCCCTGACACCACAGGTTGCACCAGCCCTGCCCCCAGGTGTGCTGAGCTGGCCACTGAATCTTGGCATGGGGGTGCACGCCTTTAATCCCACCACTAGGGAGGCTGAAAACAGGAAGATCAGCATGAGTCCAAGCTGCATAGTGAGACCCTGCACCAAATACATTAAAAAAAAAAAATTCATGTAATATATTTATCATTTTACAAGCAAACTCTATTCTCACTATTCAGAACTTACTTGATAGTAATCCTGCCCACCATAGCCACTCCTTGAGGTAAGAATGCCCACCTTCTCCTAGGAAAAACAACAAGAAAAATTACATTTTCAATTAAGACAAGAAGGGTAGAAAATTGAGCAACAGCAAAGACACTAGATTATGTTGAAAAAGACAAGGCTCAACTAAATAAATCTGAAGTCTTTGGAGTTTTTTAGTCATTTTCAAAGTCTTTTAAAACTTACAGCATCTTTGATTTCTGCAGAATTTCTTTTCTCTGTATGAAACTGTATTTAATAATTGGGTTCTTTGTATATATGTTAGTCAGAGGTACAGACATAGATTATACACTGAATATTTTGTTTAGCCATGGTTAAAATAAAAAACCTATAAATCATAATTGCACTGATAACAAATGAGGAATTTATACTATTTTATCTTTTTGTTTTGCAGAACCAGGGTTGAACTCAGGACCTTGCGCTTGCCAGGCAAGCACTTATTCTCCTGAGCTATCTCCCCGGCCTCTCGAATGAGGATTTTAAATGAAAGAAGATACTTTGGATTAGTTAATACAAGAATAACAAACATTAGATACAGTTCACTACACATTTTTTTCCTTGACATAATGAATTTTCTGTCTAGTGTACTTACTGAAAAAGACAAAACCTTTCCTGGGATTGTCAAAAAAATTGTCAACTCACTACTGTCATGAGCAGTGACAGTACTACCTAAGACACTGTTATGTTAGCTTGCCAAATTAAGTTTTCTCTATTTTAATATACTTAACTAATTTTGACCTAGATGGTTTTCTTATAATTAAACAAGATATATAAGCTATACAGATTGTCTTGTGGAAGTAATTATCTACCTTTATTTAGGAAAATCTCATAAAATTTGCAAACGACTGAATAGAAATCATTAAATTATGGGATTACTGTACGGTGAGCATCTGGGGGAGTGCTAATGGAATAACATGTACTCACAGCTACTTACTATGTGCGTTTCTTTGCTCTTTTTTGATTTTCATTTATGAATTTTGTGAATTTGTTTACATACTTAGCTTATTTTCTGTCACGGTGCTAATTTTCTTCTTGAATGCAGTCATTCTTTGCATATGATGAAACTGTTCTTTTTCATACATTTTAGACTTTTTCTTCCAATATGTCACGTGCTTTTTAGTTTTGGTAAGGGTCTTTCCATACAGGAGCTATCTTGTCCATTTTTGGTCAATTTAAATAATAGCTTCCTTTAGAGGCAATAAATTCTTCCTTTATCTTTTTTTTTCAAAATTTTATTGATAAACAGCAATGAGACAGTTTCAAATCCAATTGGAAGTACAGTTTCAACAAATAACACACTGCATATATTCTTCTTAGTGGTTAATTGCTGTACAAGAAGTGGACTTGTGATCCTATTTACAAACACCATTAGAACAAATCATTCTATTCATTAAGAGAATGCAACTATATATCTATCCTAACCACTTGGAATACACAAATACAAAATGGACATTCATCTGTATACCCCATTTTTTCTAAGTTCCGTTATTGAATATTATAGGTGTGTAAACTCAGCAAAATATTCTAAAAGAGTCCAGTAGCCCATAATAGCATTGGGTCCTCTGTTTAACTGGCAATGTCAGAAATTATTGACCTGAGTCCCCCACAGCTCAACATAACAGCATGGCTTTATTTCCTATATTTCGTCTTCATACTTTTCTACTGGATGGTTAAGACCAAGGTAAAGCAGGACCTATGCAACAAGAGTTGTAGCTTTTTGGTCTGAGAAGGTCAGCTCTTCCTTTATCTTTATGAGAAAAGCCTTCTTTTAGGCTTATTACAAAACTATTTCATTTTAAATTTAACCCTAAACTCTCAGGGATTTATTTTCTTGAACAGTATAATGTATAAATCTTGTATTTCTTTTCTACTTTTTTCCAAACTGTCTCCATAATTTTAATGAAATAATTCATTTTTCTTCACTGGTCTGAAAAGTCACTTTAAAAAATCAGATGTTAAATGTTATGTGTATGTGGGTCTACCTGTTAAGTTTTTAATAATCTTTGTTATTTTATTAGTGTAATGCCAGGACTAAGCTATTTTAATTAATATAGCAGTATGGTATGTTTTATTTTCTAATGATGCGAGTCTCCCTCAAAAGTATATTTTTAGAAATTCATTTGTATAATGTTTAGTCATTTATTTTTTTCATATGGATCTAAAGTTTCAATGATAGTAACTTGATGAAAATGTATAGAAGATTCATAACGGAAGATAGTCGAGTAGAGCCTACTTGGCAACTGAAATTCATAATAACTTAAGTATATTGCTATCCATTCACTGATTTAATAATTATGCATTAAGTGCCAAATACTGTGAGCAAAGGTTCCTGCATTTAGGAATCTCCTATCAATACACAAGTAGACCTGTGCACAACAATAAACATCCCACGCACAACTACACCTAATTCCAGGAACAAGGAAGGAAACTGCTGATGATGGGGATCAGGTGCCAGAGAACTGCCCCAACAGGGTGGTCAAAGGAGGCCTTCCAGGGTAGTGGAATTGAACCCAAGGTCTGAAAGGTAGTCAGCAGAATGAAGGGCAGTGGGAAGAGTGTTCCAGGCACTGAGAAGAGACTTCAGTCTGGGAAAGGATTTGGGTTATTTCAAGAATGAGGGAAAAAAAGGTCACTGAGATGAGCACGTAAGAGGAGTCTGAGGAGGCATCAGGGGCCACTTTAGTAGGAGGTCAGAGACTGTGAGTGATATAGCTCTGTCAAGTAAGGAGTCACAGGCTAAGAAAAACAGACAGTTGATGATTACAATGGTGGCGCTGTGGACTCACAAGAGGATTGTTCTGTGGCTAGAAACTTCAATTCATCAGCTGTATGTTTCTTACCTGCTCTAGTAGCGCCCTTGCTGGCCAACTGCAAGAGGCCCTTCTTCTTTAGTATGAAGCTGGAGCCAATGCAAACACTGGAACTTATGGCCAGTAGCAAGCCCACATAAAGACTGTACTTGTTTTCTGTATTTGCTGATATGCTCAAGTTGGTTATGCTGGAATTCACATTTGTGTAGAGGACAGAAGCCAGCAGCTGTGACACATTACTGATGTCACACCAAGCTTGGGAGGAGTTCGGACAGACCAGAGATAGCATACAGCCTGGAGGCAGGAAAGAGAAATGTGAAGAATGCAAGGGATTAAGATGTGCTGAGTACATGTACCAGAGCCACACTATGAATCAATGTACAGTACTAATTTAAAAAATTTTTAAAAAGAGTACGAAAAAGGAATGCAAGAGACATACATTAATACTTACCTGTTTTCTGCAAGAAACAGAGACCTGAAGGGATGCTCTGAAATACTTATAGTGTGTTCAGGGATGTCTCTCACAGGCAATCCACAGGCCTATAGGTGTTTTTGACTTGGCTTTTTCTTAAACATGATTTTAAATTGTTTAAACTGATTTTTTTTTTTTTTTCGGAACCAGGGATTGAACTCAGGCCCTTGCACTTGCCAGGGAAGCGCTTATGCCACTGAGCCATCTCCCGGGCCCTTAAATTGATTTTTAATTGCTTAAAATGGTAGTCACCATTTTATTTTATTTTTTTATTTTTTTGTGGAACCGGGGATTGAACTCAAGCCCTTGTGCTTGCCAGGCAAACACTTATTCTACTGAGCCATCTCCCCATTTTAGAATGAGAGATGTCCTATAGAAGTCTGGAACTCTCTTGTAACTTGGCACTCTTGGGTTCCAGCACAAGAGTAATCCACGGGAGCCCCAAGCAGCTGTGCAGACCTGGTTTGTGCTGGTAATTCATCCCAATCTCCCACCTCTGCTTCACCCTTTCACATTATCAGCCTGTCTCTCAGAAAGCATAGTTATGATGCACAAATACAGACAATGCCCCAGAAATCCCGCTGGCTTATAAATCACCACATTACAGGAAACTGAGCTAACCCATTCAGTGGGTACAAACTGAGTGTTTCAGTAAAAGGGTTTAAAGTGAGTTTAATTTTCCTGAACACATTTCCCAAGAAAGACACTTTACAGGTCTACTAACCTATCTTCTCTTAAGCAAAACAAAATCTAATAGAAAAATCAATTTTTAAAAACCTTTAAAATTTGTATTTATTTATTTTTAATAATCTGTGTGTAGCACATAAAGCTTACTGTCTTTGTATAGAGTTGGTCCACCTACATGGCCCAACTTAATTGCCTTTACCCTCTTTGCCTCCCTTCTTCTCCCTTCTTTAGCCTTCCTCCACTTCGCAGGGTCCTTTCCCTTTGAGAAAGATAACCTTTTATTTTACTCTGTTTATATTTTGAGTTTCACATATAAATCAACACGATATTTAAACTTAGGTGTCTAATTTATTTCACTTAACATTATGGTCTCAGAGTGCATCTATTTTCTTACAAATGACTCAAGGTTAGCTTTCTTTTGAGCAGAGTACGCTATAAAAACATTTATTCCATAAATACTGTATTTTCTTTATCTGTTCATCAGTTGATAGATATATGGGCTGCTTGTCAGTACATGTTTTAAAGAATAAGACTCAAAAACGTATGCAACCCCACTAAATCATAATCGTGATTATAAATGCTTTGGAATTTTGAGGCAAATGATTTAAAATTCAAAATGAAGTATTTTACACTATATAAGACACTTTTTCTTATCTTTTTGCACTTTAAGAGATACTGTGACTAAATGGTCTACTGTCTGTTCATTTGTTTTTCTTTTCAAACAAAATTTAAATTCTCCCAATTTTAAATTACCCTAGTCAAAAAAGTACAAAGGAAAAGTTATCAAAGTACAACTGTGGAATTGAATGAAGAAAATGGCTTTATATCTGAGGAATCTGAAGAATGCTTCTGAACAACAGCAAAAGACCATTTGACCGAGTAATGCCCTAGGAACAAAACTTTTCATAAACATTATAAAGTTATCTGTATTTTACTCCTTCGTAAGCATTATAAAGTCATCTGAATACAAAGTTAGGGAACAACCATCCAGTTCTGGATGGGAAATGGTAAGATAATTTCAGTAAGAATTCCTGCAAATTTACACACACATTAGGCCTCCGTAATCTTGTTCTACCTTCTGTACATCTCATCCAAACCCCAAGAACAGAAAATGAGTATTTATATTTTTGTCAGTAAACGTTTCGCTTACAGTCATTCTTGAGACAACATCTGACTTGGCTTGCTAATGAATTCTACGGCCGGCCGCTGCCTTCATGTCACTT